AAAAACTTTCTTATTACTCTATTACGTTAACAACTCTATCCCATTTCAAAATGAACAAAACCCAAGTTTGGGACTCAAATGAAACAAAAGGAGCCGATAAGCTAGTAATTGCAATACCCTCTACACCTTCTTTCGCATATAAAAGTTGTCTGCGAAAAAATGTGTTTTAATTTCTTGAATCGCATTATATGACGAATATAAGTACAACCAAGTTTAAAACTTTTTCGGTCTCTTGTGTAAGAAAGATCACATTTCTCACCGAAGCATCTGTTGCAGCTAATTTTCTTTGGTAACTGCTTGGGGGCCTTTATATGTAAATAAGTAATTTATGACTGTTCTCGCAGCATCTAATGTATGGCGTCTTGTCATTCCCTACCAGCTGTTGCTGTTGGCAGCTTCTGGGTTGCGGGGAACTTAGCACGCGAGGGATCTACTCGATCAGAAGTCCATATACACCAACTCATTTTTTGGTATATTTCATATTTTACAGACTCCCCTCTATGGTATAGCTGCCAGTCTGATATCTTCTATTCATCATTGTTACATGTATACATGTGCGATGATATAACAGCCTAATGTATTTATTACTAAACACAAGTACTTTTTTTAAATAAAAAGTTTTTTTTTTTTAAATCTGAAAAAATGTAGGGTCATCTGGAACAAACTGATGCAAGCGTGCGCTTAAAGCAGCGTTGGCGGATCCAGGATTTCTTTAGAAGGGTAACAGGCCGTGGGTCTTGGGCCACCTGAGGGTCCATTTGCTCTGGTGGGGGAAATAGATGGCGAATCCCTCGGAAGATCCCCGGTGTTAATTTTATGAAATATTTTTGATGCATTAAACATCTTTTGCGGTTTATCTACCAAATTTGTGGTCACAGAGGAGGGGTAGGATATTGCCAATTGACCTTATATAGGGAGATCGACCTTTTGATAAAAATATATTCTCATTTTCCAACAATTTACATCTTCATCTAATGTTTGTGGGTAATGTGGAATTCTAGAAGACTTTCCAATTTCGAATCACAAGAACACTAACAAAATTAGTGGGTCATCGACATCTTGCACCTGGCTGTACATGAAACATCTGCCCGAGAAGCGACGAAGTAGCTAAAGAAACATAACTCCAGCTACCATCCTCCTCTAATTTAGATCTGAAAATGTTATGAATGCTTCTCCTGCAATTATCATTAGGGTTTGTTCAAGAAATGTTTTGAAAACACATGTAAATGTAAAAAAAAAATCCTCTGCGTCTGCTTAAGCTAATACATAAATACATGGATCAATACTTGTTTAATTAAAAACGATTATTAGATTTCATTTTTATTTAATGAGATATCATGGGATGCTTTTGGGTTTTTTGTCCCCCGTTTTCGCGAAAGCGAGGGGACTTTAGTTTAAATCTCATTCGTCTGTCAGTCTGTATTACAGTAAGTTTGTCAGTCTGCCAGTCTGTAGTTCTGTCCGTCCGTCTCAAAAAACTTTAACCTTGGTCATAACTTTTCAATGAGAAGATATAGGACTTTCATATTACACATGTATATTACCTGTGACAAGACCTTTCTTAATACACAATGGCTTCTGACCCTGTGGCCTTGACCTTGAAGTTTGACCTACTTATTAAAAAACTTCAACCTTGGTCATGACCTTTGAATGAGAAGAGGTAGGGCTTTCATATTAGACCTGTATATTGCCTGTGACAGGACCTTTCTAAATACCGGTACATTATGATTTTTGACCCCGTGACCTTAACCTTGAAGTTTGACCTACTGTTAAAAAAAAATTAAAGACTTAAAATTGGCTTTACTTTTGAAGGAGAAGAGATAGGGCTTTCATATTTGACATGTGCGTTTCCTGTTACAAAACATTTCCGAGCATGCTATGATTTCTGACCCCTTAGCCTTCACGATTGGCCTATTGAAAAAAATAAATTCAGTGATAACTTTTGAATGACATATGAAGGGGCTTCATACCAGTTTTTGTCCCCCGCTTTTAGCAAAAGCGAGGGGACATTAAATCTCATTCGTCTGTCCGTCTGTCACAAAAACTTTAACCTTGCCCATAACTTTTGATTCAGTGGAGCTATGACTTTCATATTTCATATGTGTATTCCTTGTGACAAGACCTTTCTTTGGGTACCACCAAATTTGACCTTTTGACCTTGAACTTGAAGTTTGACCCACTTTTACACAAAAATTCCAAACTTTTACTTTGACCACATCTTTTGAATGGAAGATACTATGACTTTCATATTTCGCATATGTATTCTTTGAGGCAAGACCTTTCATTTGATACCAACAACTTTGACCTTTTGACCTTGTCCTTGGAGATTTCTGTACTTATGAAAAAACTTTAACCTTGACCATAACTTTTGAACGGTAAGCGCTAGGACTTTCATACTTCATATATATAATTCTTGTGAGAAGACCTTTCATTGAATACCAAGAACTTTGCTCCTTGGACCGTGACCTTGGAGTTTGACCTACTTTTCAAAAACTTGACCTCGGCCACAAATTTTGAACAGTAAATACCAGGACTTTCATATTTATCATGTGTATTCTTTGTGGCAAGACCTTTCATTTGATACCAACAACCTTGACCTTGTCGATTTTTTCGTACTTATTAGAAATCTTTAACCTTGACCATAACATTTGAATGTTAAGGGCTAGGGCTTTCATACTTCACATATGTAATCCTTTTGATTGAATAACAAGAACATTAACCCTTTGACCTTGGAGTTCAGTGGTAATTTCTAAATAGATGACTTATGATAGGGCGTTCATATTAGTCACAAAATGTCATAAAAAATGACATCTCACCCAAAAAGACACCGAAAGCGGGGGACCACAATTCTTTGAATTTGCTTGTTAACACAATATGCCATAAAAATGATATTTCACCCATAAAGCGGGGGACCACAATTCTTTGAATTGGCTTGTTTTATGTAAACACAAAAAGATGAGAAAACGTATTTTTCGTTTAAATAAATAAAATGCAAAATTTGTTATCTGTTCCATTAAAAGTTTTCTATCTTTAAAAAAAAGAGTTAAAAGTGAGTTGGACAATCGTGGAGGGACTTGCGTACCCCTTGCTTTGTTCCTGCAGAGGGCAACTGCATATACTAGCATGGTTACTATGAATAAAGTCTTATACCAAGATTGTGAAATTCATGCAACTTTTAGAGTGAAGGAATGGACAAGTTGTTCGGTATATATGAAAAAATCTTTCTTTTTAGCATGCTCGATAGGAGGCTATGATACTAAAACCTATACCAAACTGTACAATCTGTGGCCCCAGGAACTGGATAATTTGATCATGGTATTTAAAATTCATTAAATATATAAACAAATTTATTTCATCTTTCGTTCCAGAATACTAGTATATCTAGGAGACGCGTACATGCCATTTCCTTTGTGACAAGTCTTCAATTATTTGTATATTCATGTTATCAAGTTTAGTCCGTTTTAGGGGCTGAGGTTTAAAACCGTTTTGTGAAATTCATAATAAAGGTGACCATCAAAGCCCAATGGACACTTGTTCCAAAAAAAAGACTAGATGTAGGTCCATGTGCCACATTGCTAATATGAGCAATTGGCTAGGGATTCAGCATTTTATGGTATCAACCTACTCCTAGGAGGAGTGGTGATTTGAACAAACTTGAATCTACCCCAACCCAGGGGTTGAAATTCACAAATTTGGACGAAGAAGATTTTCAAAGAATTAATGCATTTTCACTATATAATCAATAGAGCCCCCTAACACCAGAGCCCCTGACCCAAATGCCATGAATTTCACAATTTTGGAAGAGACACTCTTGTTCCTCAAAACTATGTACATTGTACTAAGTTAGTTTGTTTAATACCCTGGAGCAGAGAAGAAGATTTTCAAAGAATTAATGCATTTTCACTACATAATAATCAATAGAGCCCCCCTAACACCAGAAACCCCGACCCTGGTGCCATGAATTTCACAATTTTGGAAGAGGCATTCTTGTTCATCGATGCTATGTACTAAGTTAACTTGTTTAATACCCAGGGGCAGATTTTCAAAGAAAGAATGCACTTTCACTATATGATCTATATAGCCCCGCCCTAACGCCTCTGAACCATGGGATCATGAATTTCGGTTTTGGTAGAGGGCTCACTGCTTATTACAATCATGCCAATAGTTTGACTGCTTGATGTCCATGAGTGAAGATTTTTAAAGATTGCATTAATTTTGGTGGTTTTAGCCCCACCGCTCAGGCCGGGGGAGGGGGGGGGGCTGAAATTCACAATTTTTGTTCCCCTTCACCCCTAGATGCTTTATGCCAAAATTGGTTGAAATTGGTTTAGTGGTTTGAGAGAAGCTAAAAATGTTCAATGTTAACGCACGACGATATATAGCAATGTCACCTGAGTGACTCAGGTGACCTAATAATGAAGAGTCCCACCCATGGAGCACATCAAAAACCTCTGACCCAGGGGACATGATTCAGAATTTTTGAAAAGGCACCCCTTGGACATCATAATCATAATATGTAGTTCATTAGTTTAAAACAGAAAAGCAAAGGGGAAGACTTTCAAAGAATCAAGGTATTTTTACTATATAATCAAAAGAGCCATGCCCTAACATCAGAACTCCTGACCAAAAGACCATGAAATACACACTTTTGAAAGAGGCACCCATGCTCATCATTACTATGTACTTAGCTTATTTTCCAAATACCCAGAATCTGAGATTAAAAAAAAAATAGTGCATTTTCACCATATATATTTCTACAGAGTCCCATCCTAGAACCAGGCCCTTAAAAGATTTGTAAAGAGTCCATTTATTTAATTGCTTTTGGTCCCACCCCTCAAACATTTGGGGAGGGGTTATACGAAATTCTAAATTTCACTGGATTTTGTGGAAAGGCAGAAAATTTTCAAACCATGACAACATAGGAAAACAGACAGTAATAAGTCACATGAGTGACTCAGGTGACCTAACAAGGATGGCAAAAGTGAAAAGCAAAACAGCTGTTCATGTTCATTGTTTTATTGTTTTCTGTTATTTCATTAACCCAAAATAGGGCGAACTCTCATGATATGACGTGTAAATAAATAATGAAATGGTGACTTGTTCATAAAACTGAAGAATATCTTCATTTGATGGAAATATGTCCATCACAATTTGAAAATATTTCTTTCAATTGATAGTACAAAATACAATTATTAAATATACTGAATTTTTCTATAATGTTGTGTGATGGGAATGAATTTTGAGCATATGATGGGAATGATTTTTTTAAAAGCATTAATGAACTTTTCCACAAAAAATCTTTTGACCAAGACAAAGTTAAAAACATTTTCCAATTCACTATCAAGCTTGCTGCATGTCACAAAAAGCTTATACATGCATAACATTAAATTATACTTAAATAATATTTTAGAAAAAAGAAATTATCTCTAACAAACAAAGAATTACCGAGTTGTCAAATTTTTATCTTGTTCACAGGATTTTTTGTAAAAAAAGGATGCAGTACATCAAATGATTTAAATTGTTTGCACTGTAAGATAAATATACCACCTCTGTCAGATATGTGTAAAGTTACTGAAATATTTTTGCTTAACTTTTTCGATTTTACATTGTACTTTCCTTTTCTAAATGTTTTTGTACCCGATGCATAAGGAGGTGATTGGAGAATATTGTTACAAATATTCACAAAGTAAAAAAAAAATGTCATTGTTTTAATATGAAAAGTTTTGCAAATGTTGAATATTTCTATACAAACAAATGTATATATCTGCATTATAAACTGCACAATGTCATATAATATATACATGTTCATAAAAATTTATTATTGCAATTTCAATGGCACTTTTGTCTCAAAAATTTTGTGCAAATACAAAATACACTAAACCTGATATGGCATGGAATGCTGAACGCAGAAACATGATCCTTTGTTTAGACTAGCTAATGATGGCTGCAAACGTCTCATTTTTGCTTATACAAATGACAATATTTTATCCATAAAAATTACACAAATCTACAACAATGGGTCTCTTACACAACATTGATATAAAAAAAAATTACAAATGACACAACACATCTTAAGTCTGTCAATTATGAAACAGAATTTGAAACTGAAGTAAAAATTTACAAAAGTAATAAAAAATTTATGAAAATGTCACAAAAATGCCAAAAGATGCCAGAAGATCTACATAAGTAATAAATCGGTGAAAAAGCACTAAAAAGCTGTAAGAATCATGGGAGGATTTTTCTATTTAGGGATAAATCATGATCAATACCATTTTACTAATATTTCTATACAAGCCTACACTAAACAAGTATGTACACATTGTGTCATGGTATAAGAATGGCAACCCATAGGGTACACAATACAAATTGAACCAATGCATATTTTTAGATTTGTCATGTTTCTCATAAATTATGTAGATAAGTAAAGCACTATTTATAAAATCAGTCAGCATCCCAGATGCTAGATTTCTACCTTCAGGAAAAATAACTTTTGTCTATTTATTCGACCTTGACACTTTATAAAACAATTGAGATTCCTAAGCATGTTATTTCAGAAATTGATCCTTAACACTACAAATTTTTCACATCATAAAACAATGGAAAAATAGTCTTACACATAGACAACAAATCTATCACTACATTAAAATACTTTTGACAGCAGCATCTAAATCATCTTCCATGGAGGTGGTGTCTGTCTGGTCCCCATTTTCCTGTTGCTCATATGATTGGGGACTATTAATAGCACTCTCTTCTGATTGGCTGGCATCATAGTCATGATTAAAGAAATCTGATTGGTCCATATGATATGTAGATGATGATGATGCATTATCATTAAACTGCAATATGGAGTCTATTGCACTTTGCACCTGATAATTGGTTTCATTGTCCTCCTCCTTCCCTGAACTCACCTCGGAGTCCGAGTCACTATCACTACTACTGCTGCTCTCAATTGTCATGGTATCATTGCCCGTAATTTCAATCACATTTCCACTTGTCGTCCTATTTGATTTGTGTAAGTTTTCAGTCTGGGAATATGACTGAGAATCACCAGAATATTTCATAGTGTGTTTCCCAATACTTATTGAATACGGTTCACTTTTACCAGGCACATATTGTGAGACATTTTCTTCTTCATCCCCTTCGTCCGAGGAAATCGGTTCATACTGAGCACAAGCAGATCCAGGATATGAACTGACACTTGACTCCATAGACTTTTGGCTATCCTCTAGACCAGAGAAGGACTCACGGAAAGTGGAGTTTTTAGACCGGTCTTGATGATACAATGCATTACTAGATGTAAATGATATGGGCTGACTGCTTGATGGGGGACTAGAATGAAATGTGTTTTGATTACTGTAATTGACAGTGTCTTCTGATGAGATCAGATTGTGAACTGTTTCAGCAGAGTCTGAGTATAAATTACTGTCTGTCCCCTCCATCTCCATCTTACCGTCAGGATAATTCATGTAACTCATCTGAGACACGTCAGCACTGTCAGTCTCCATGTAGGAGGCAAAGGGCTTCTCATCGTTACTGATATCACTCCACCTAGTGGCAGTATTATCCTCCATTGTGATGTCATCATTGGGTTTATTCTCTATGTTTCCTAGTAACGGTGACCTTGACCCCAGAGAACCTTTATCAGAATTGTTATCACAGTAACTATCTGTGCTGCTTTGCTCTGCTAGGTATGTATTAGTGTCACTATCACCATCCTCTGTGATACAGGTGGAACTGGTCAGTTTCTGCCCATCATTACGAATGATGAGTTTGAATTTTGGCGTAGTTGGACGCGAGTTGCTCTCTTCCTCCTTTATGGAGACAAAGGGACTAGAGGGTTTATTTTCAGGGGGTACTTGTTCAGTAGGGGGTTCCTGTTTAACAACCACAGGTTTCTGTTCCTCCATCTCTTCTTTTACAGCTGCCTTCTCCGACTTCCGCAGGAGGTGTAATGGCATAGGTTTGAAGGACGCTGAAATAATAAAAACATCATCAGAAATAGTTGTAGATATCTCAATTATTTTCAGAATATTTACACATCGGATCTTTCAAAATTACCTAGGAATAAGTTTCTTTAATTTTAACATCAAGTACACATTTCAATACTTTTACAATTTCTGTGTATAAAAAAACACATTTTCAATTGAATTTTTCTTTATTCTGATATTCCTTATGAATAACTTGTCAGTTTACTGCCCATTTACAGTAAGATCCTGTGTAACTAGTGAGAAATTTAAAGGGAAGTAACTCTACCAGGGTCCTCCAGAATTAGCTTCTTTTCCCTGTTTATTGTTTCTTTGAGATCATCATTCAGCAGTCTTTTGATCATCACAGTCTCTGCAGTGCTCTTCTCCCTCTGAAAAAAATCAATTTATTTCAATCTGTGCCTAAAATACTGTATACAAATACAATTCATTTTGGAAATTTCCTTTGGTCTTCTTTCTGTGTGAATACTAACCATGCTTTCCTTCATTAGCAACAAACGAAATTTTTCAAACATGGCAGTGTTCTTTCTCATCAACCCTTCAGCACAGTTTTCAAACATTTCTTCATCTGAAATCAAAATTGAATCTATGTTTAAGTCATTTTGAAAATACCCCCTTCCAACTTTTAATCATCAATCTAGGAAAAATAATCTATCAGCAACAAATTTCTTTTTTTTTTCAACAACAAAAAATACAAAGTATAACATTTGTAAGTTTCTAGCTTCTGAATTACAAACAGTACTTAATTCTAACCTTTTTTGACCAGTTTCTCTGGTGGCTCTTTCCACTGGAAGACATGGTTTCTCAGCAGTCTCCGAGTCATGTCCCGGCGGTCTCTGAATGGTGTACGAGTGTCAGGCCTCAGGGCATTCTCCTGGTCTTTACTCAGCTGTTGATGAATCCTAGTAGGGGAAAAACAATTTATGTTGTACCAATAAAACAAAAAAAAATCTATTTAAAACCATTCAGTTTTTGGCAGACCCTTGGACATTAAAAAGAGTAAATTAAAGATTATTGTCCTTGATATATAAATACAAAATATTATTTCTACATTAAATAATGAAGAACTATAGATCATTAATTTTTTGCGAGATAGTCATCGACTCCTGATGAGCTTACAGTTTGTCCTTTGGAATTGATGCTACAGCTACCAGTTTATTATCTGAAGACCCTTGTTGTATAAGTACAGGTCCAACTCCAGAGGCAGGTCTTGTGGCAGCGCCTGTTAGTGTCTACAGAGAAAAGGAAACATAATGAAATTCAAGATTACCTTACCATTTCAATATAACTAAGAAGTTAGAAAAGAAAAGTACATAATGAACTTCTTTAATGAATAAATAAAAAATTACAAAATAACTTTGTTGAAGACTAAATTCTACACGAGTCCCAAGGGCGTTCAATCTCATCTAACAAACTGCACAAATCTCACTTTGACTTTCCTTTAAATTGGCAAATTTAAAATTATCTTGGGCACAAAAATGTATGATCTGACACGATTTGATGATTCTAAGCCTCAAATGGCTATAGCATTAGCTCTTTGAGAGAAACATGTAAGATATACAGTATAATTTGTCCAATCCGGCTACCGCCGGTTCCATAAAATTTGGCCGGATTAGACAGAATCCGGAGTGCAGGAAAAATGCAGGAAAATATAAATTTCGAAAATTTTCGTGGTTTATTTACAAGTACATCATATACATATTATAAATAAAATTAAATGATGAAATCAATTACTATTCTGGAGTCTAGAAATTATAAAAAAAAAATCGCACATGACTTACTGTATTTTCTTATTTGTTCACGAAGTTTGAAAGTCGGGTGAAATGTTACCTCAATCAAAATATACAGGCACGCATAATATAAGCCTACTATGTATCAAGCGGACCGGGTTTCGCTTGTCAAAGACCTCATTCAAGGTATTAACAGTAATAAACAATTATTTACGATGTGCTCATTATTAGATTGAACTTTTAATTTTATGTAAAAAATAAAATGGCGCCATTTTGAAATGCGTTCGATTTTCGATCCCGATTTATATTTTGATTTGTAAATCGCATACATATGTTTTTGTGTTTATGTTATAATGTGGTAAAAGGAGTTAAAACAAAGTTACTTTTTTTAAATTGTAATTTAATATATTTTTCAAGTGGACTGTGTCACCGCCGCATTTCACCGAGTTCGTCTCATGGCACTAATAATGATGCTAATGTAAACACGGATTATCACATTCCCCACGAAAGGCGTTAATTTCTTTGAAGTAACTCAGGTGTGGCCGGATTAAAGGGAATAATTAACGTTAATTATGAGCAGTTGGGACCAGTATGGCCGTTCGGAATACAGAATAGACAGTATCCGGACTACACAGAATTTTTTAAAATGAATTTGTTAAAGAAGTGCATGGGACTAAAATTTACGGACGGAATGGACAAAAGTCCGGAGTACTCAGAGTCCGGATTAGACAAATTTTACTGTACTACAGGAAAAGAATAAAATTTTGGTACCTGAACAGGAGTGGGAATTTTACCCTGTTGTTGCAGCTTGGCCTGGTGGGCTTTCTGGGCCTGCACCTGGGCCTGAAGTTGCTGCTGTTGCTGTAATTTTAGAAACATTGTGATCTGTTGCTGCTGTTGCTCAGGGGTCATCCGGGCCAGATACCCTTCCACCTTGTTCTTCTGTTCTGGGGTCAAATTCAACTGGAGAACATGGTTTGCAATCTGTATAGTGTAAGAAAAATCAAACCTGTCAGTGACTCAGTGTGATTTTAACGTCCTGCAACAAATGTAACCTATGCTAAGACCCTATTTCCTAAGAATGGGTTAATTAACTTTGTGTTATGAAAAAAAAGCTGGGAACATAATTCTAGCAATGCTTTAAGCCTCAAAGCAACTTTTGGACTCTAGTCATTCTTAGGTGGGTCCTTGATATTGTAATATATCACTTGATTTGTAAACGTAATATTATGCAGTCGTCCAGTTCTCATTCTTGTTAAATCTATGTTCAACATGTGCCTGCCAGAAAAGTTGTTCATTTATGATTTTATTGAAAATAATATGTCAGCTTATCTAGATACGATTTTAGTAATAGCTATTATCATCATAATTTACCTGTTGTCGCTTCATGTAATATCGTAGGAGTTATAATATCGGGGAATAGAGGGTAGATTTTACATTTCATGTTTTGGAAGCCATCATACTTTACTCGGATCGTCATTTCCGGTTTGGTGACCTATATGTATTTACTAGTAATGTATTGTTCTATTGAAGTTATGAATATGGGATCGTATTCTGCAATTTGGTTTGATTTGTTTTGTGATTTGAAGCTACAAGTTGTTATTTACTGTTAGCATTAACTTTATAATCAGTCAGCTTTATCGGGACTACATTTGTTTACGCTAGTGTCGGTAGTTACGATATTCATACGCTACATTGTTCAGCATATATTGTACAGTCTAGGGATGTTTTATAAATATTGATGGAATTTATTAATTCGTTTAGTCAAGCTTATTTTATGTGTTATATTTCCACTTGTTAATTTTACATAGTTTTACTTGTTACGATGTTGTACGGTAGCTTGTGTGGCAAAAGTAGTTCTTGTGTGGGAACTTGTGTGGGAACTCAGCTTCCCGTACAAGCTTTTGATTGGTTAATAGTTCGTACGGCATAATTTTATTGGATAATTCGAGTCATGTGACAGGGAATGGGAGGTTATATAAGCAAGCGCGTACTACGTTACGACAGATTTCAGCTAGTTGTATGGCGGCTACATTTGAAAGTTAAAAAGAAAGAAAACAAAGACGGTGAGATACTTATAATGTTATTTACGTATAATTAGCCTAGTTAGAAATCTCCTACCACACTGGACGACCTAAACTTGTGTTTCTGAAGAATCAGCTGTTTTATATTGATATTTACATATTGTATTGTTATGATTATGAGATGCTGCACACACAATAAATGCTGAGTATGACTGATCAATCATCTTGAGTATCATTCAACAAAGAATCTACACACAGTGGTGCCTGGTTGTTTAATTTACATAAGAACAAATTTGATTACTGGTACATCCTGACAAAAGATGATTTATTTAGAAGATAAACTATGGCCTATATAGACGCTGAGGATTCAGAAATACTAGCCACCCCTGGGGTAGCTTACAATATTATTCACAAGCAGTGTTCTTACTTTGATTTGTGTTGGCACAGCCACTTGCTGAGGTCCAGCTTTCACAGTTGAGGTTCCTAATGATAGATTTGCCCCCACAGGCTTCGGCACACCTGTCATTGCCGTCACTGGTTGACCTATCTGAATTGTGGATTGAGTTGTTGCCACTTTACTCTGGACCAGGTTCTGAGCCGTAGACAGAGCTGGACGGATACTGGTGCTTGAGGAAGACAGTGCTTGTAGCAGCGGCGAGGCATTCGGTACTGCAGCATTTGTTTGTGCCACACCTTTGAATAAGTTAATAAGGAAAATTCAATCAAGAATCAGTTTTGCAGTAAGCAATAAAGCAATTCCGAACATCTCATTTTATTTGAATTATACAATTGATGCCTAGAAAGTCTAATAATTTTCAAACTGACAGAATTACTGACTGAATTATTTACCTTGTGTCAATGAAGTGACACCTGAAATTTGCTGTGGTACTGTTCCTGTGGGTGGTTCCCCTATCATCGGTGGAGGAATTGCCTGGGGTTCTGTTTTGATTATGACTTGGTTTTGGGTAGTAAAACTGGCCTGTGGCTGTCCAATCATTGGCTGAGCCACCTGAAGTTTGTGTTGCTGGGCACACTTTTGAAGAATACCTTTCTGAAGGTCAACTAGTTCTTTTTGTCTTTTCATTTGTTCAGCAGTTAAATGTTTCAGACTTAAAAGGGTCTTTAACTCTGCTTGTATTAACTGCAATTTCTGTTGTGTCTCTGGGGTCAGCTGAATTGTCTGAAGCTTTGGGGCATTGTTTCTTGCTTGTAGAGTGGTCTGCTGTAAGAGTGAGGGGGGTTTTGTATCACTTGATGGCTGTGGTGTTACCACGGAAGGAACCACATGCGGTATCTGTTGTGTGGTGCTAAATATTGGCTGAGACAGAACAGTCTGGGACTGAGATGTGGTGGCTGGTGTGATGGAGGATGTGATGCTAGCTTGTGGCGTGACAGAAAGGGCTTGACTGAACACATTTTGAACACTGCTGGCGAGCGGTTGAGTGCTTGCCTGATCACTGTGTTGAAGTCCTGTGGATGTGTGAATGAGATTCCCTTGCTGGGAGACTGTTTTGGTAACAAATGACAAAGTTTTCAGACTGGAGTCTGTGCTGGCTACTTGTATCACCTGTTGAGCTTGTGAACCAGAACTGTCATCACTTTTCACTCCTATCGTAGCTCTCTGGACTTGTTGCTGAACTAACTGCACAGTCTGAACTTGCGGATTCTGTTGCAGGTTTTGAAAGCTGATATTCTGGGGTAGATTTATAGACAATACACCAGCAGGATTTTGACCTATGACCTTGACAGTCTGGTTCTGCTGACCTGGAATAACAGGCTGACCAGCGGGAGTGATGATCCTTTGAAGCTGAATTCCTGGCTGCTGTGATGTGACAAGTAAGGGTTGCTGCATCACTTGCGAGCCTTGAGATGCCTGGTAATGTGATGTGCTTGTTGTGTTGCTGGTGGGCTGTTGAAGGTGTAAATTCTGTGGAGTTAATGTTCGCACCATAATGTTCTGTTGCTGTGCTTGAGCTCTTTGTATGAGCACCTGCTGGCCTTGACTGTTCACACCAATTATGTGGGTGGCACCCATGTTCTTGTCTTGTCCTGCTATTGAGGTATTGTTGGCCATCCGGATGACATTTCCAATGCTTCCAAGAGTCACATTGTTTCCCAACACACTGGCTCCTTGAAGCATTCCGGTTCCACTTGCTGAAGATCCTTGAATAACATTGGCACCACTGGTATTAAGTTGAGGTTGAAACACCTGCTGGAGGTTTTGGAGGTTTATTGGCTGACCTGACTGTAAAAGCTGACTAGGAATTATTATACTCTTACCATCAGCAGTTTGTATTAGAGTCCCTTGTATATTCTGACCCTGTTGCACTGTTCCACCTTGCTGGTTCTGAAGAGCAGGGTTGTTGCATAACACATGCGCTACATTCAAATTTACAACATTAGGGTTCTGAATCACTGTGTTTTGTGTATTAACTATGTTTTGTCCCTGACCATGTAGCATGGCAGTTTGACCTTGCTGACCTTGTAATAAAGCAGTCTGGCCAGTGTGTCCTTGCAGCACAGCAGTCTGACCCTGGAGCTGCCCTTGTAACATAGCAGTTTGTCCATGTCCCTGAAGATAGGACACATGACCTTGACCTTGCACAACACCGGAATTTTGCAAAATTTGTTGTCCTTGAACCTGAATATTCCTGGCAAGTAACTGCTGCTGTGCATTTAAGACATTCACATTTGTATTTCCCACATTAGCCACTAAAGGCTGATTGTAGCCTTTGGATGAAGTGATGGATGTTGTATCTGATGAAGAAGTAGCATATTGAATGGATCCCACAGATTTGCTGATGAGGGGAGAACTGGCAGGTGTGAGGGAGCGATTGATGGCAGGGGAACTGGCAGGAATCGGACTCTGACTCGGTGCTTGGAACTGCTGGCTAGGAAACTGAACTGAAGAGGGCTGAAGTGTCTGTTGAGATTGCTGGACTTGGATCGGTCCATTGGTCAATATAAACTGACCATTTGGACCCCTTACTAATTGAGCAGTGGACCTAAAATACAAGAAACAAATTTAGTTGAGAATAAATTTTTGAAGAAACAAAATGCTTTAGGAATAATGTCAGTGTAAATGCTTTGTACAATTCCAAAAGCCTGGAAAGTTATGTGCATTTAAAGCAAATACCATTTCCATGGTTGCAAAGAGAACAGCATTATACACCTGATTTTTCTAAATATTATTAATGAACTACAAAAAAAGGACAAACCCAATCAAATTAGGCAGTGATGTGATAATTTGCTGTGATTGGTTGGACTGCTGTTGCTGCTGCTGCACAAACTGAATTCCTGCATTCTGATTGGCTAAGGGCATGGGACTGGCAGTGTTGGCAAGGATGAAGCTAGACTGCGATGTGGTGAGGACATTGTTTTGTGAGGTTAGGACAGGAAGTGAAGAGGAGGCATTATTAACTTCGTCTATCCCCTGCGGGAGGACAGAGCTGGAGGTTTGATGCGTTTCTTGGTTCTCGGAAGAGGAAATGAACTCGTCAGCCCAGCTGAAGTCTGAGGCACCCTAAAATTATTCTTATCCACTGCCTTACTGTGTTATACTTAGGTAAAATCAAGTAAATTATGTTAAATATTAAAAGCAAACCTTCAAAGTGCAATGCATACTCCACTTAATTAAAACCCTACTCATTTTTTAAATTAATAAAATTTTGGAAATTCACTTCAAAATTTTCATAAATCAACATGTACTTACTGCATCATTGTCATTCCCAAAAAATCCTTCACTGAAACAGATAGAACTCATCATTTAAAGAACTATATTACGGCAATAGTCAAATTGAAAATCATGTCTGAAACTGAAGTTTGCACTAATATTATGTTTTGATGTTAAAATGAGAAACTTCTATACCATTTAAGTTGATAAATTATGTCTTAAAATAAAATCAGAATTTTTCACACCATTAAACTATACAAAGTTTTTTTTGTTTCTTACCTTATATCAAAGAATGATTCTCCATTGTCCATTTCTTTGTTACCTTAAAATATAAAAGGTCTTATTAAAGATTCCATTTTATTAACCTATTACTTATGTCATCTTTATCATGTTAATGTATATCAAGCCTTTCCATGTGTGTTCTTTTGGTGTTAACAGACTAACAAGAAGTAATTGGAACAGAGGATTATGCTCTAGGATGTAGATGCAACCACATTAAGTTTTGACGCCAATTCATCTCATTTATTTATTTTTTTAAGTCTGAAAATTAAAAAGAAATTGCTAACTTTTTGTGTACGTAGAAGTTGCCCCCAAAATTATATGTTTGTCTCTTCTGCTGCTTTCCTTTTAGAGGGAATGCCTTACCTTTTAGAAATCATTACTGCTGGCCAATTCTGGCCAGTCTTTTTACAGTAGTCCAGTGATGATAATCCGTCATTTACATTTTTAGGATCTGGCATTACCTTCAAAATAAGAAAAAAAAAAAAATATCTAATTAAATCTATCAAATCAAGGCAAATGCTGTACCGAGGAAAATAGTTCCTGTCTCGGGTGTCAATAAGCTAGGGTACTCACAGTCAGATAATAGATGTATAATACATAATATATCCGAATTCCTCTTTTCTTATTTTAAAATGCTAGATGTTGCCATTGTTTGACCTTAAAACATCAATAAAAAATACGGAGGATAGGCAGGCAACAGCTTTCAAATAACATAAAAATAAAATTCCAGAAAAAGTGCCCCCTACAACTCTACCCTTCATGGGTTATTATCTGTGAATGAACTTGAATCTCTGCTATTTTTATCAAATATTCCTATGTCAAACTTTGATCCTTGTTGTGACCTGTGATCCCATCCTACCCATAGGTTCATGAACAATCTTACACTGTGCCTATCTGAAGATGCTTCCATATTCATACAACTACGGTATTCATGGCTTAGTACATTTTCAATGATGAAGTGACATCCCTCCCCTCCAGATGATTTGAACAAACTTAAATCTGCATTACCTGAAGATTACTTCCATATCAGTTTGACTAAATATGGATACGCTTTTCTTAAAAACCCTTTTTTTAATTTCCCCTATGTCTGTGATAGCCCACTATGACCCCCCAACCTACCCTTGGTGTAAAGATTTGAATTTATGCAACCTGAAGATGCTTCATATCAATATGACAAATTATGCCACTGTTGTTCAGAAAAAGAATTTTTGAGGATTTTTTTTTTCCAATATCACTATCATTTATATATTTTTAGAACTTTGATCCCTAAATCAGGCCCCCTCCTACCCCTTAGAGGACAAGACTTGAAAAAAAAAGTTTATATCTACATTACCTAAGGGTGCTTCCACAGTAAATATAACTAATCATGACTTTGCTGTTCTTGAGATTTTTAAAAAAGATTTTTACTACGCATTCTTATATAAACTGATTGTCCTTTGTAGCCACCCAGGGTTCATGATTTGAATAATTAAAAAAAAAAATCATATTTATTTCCCCTTGGAAGAAGATAATACACTCCATTTACATGATTTAACAAACTTTTTTCACTTTAGTCTTTATCCAAGGACACTATGTGGAAAGTTTGGTTGAAATTGGCACAATGGTTTTAAGGAAGTTAATTTATAAGAGAAGTTTACAGACAGAGAGACAAGATGTGATCAAAAAATCTCACTCAAGCTTTCGGCTTAGTTGGGCTTAAAAAAACAAACAACTAACTAAAATATTTTAAAATTAAATGTAATATGATTATAGTGTTGTCAAACCAGTTGAAAATCAGAATCGATTAATCAGTAGCATCGGTTGACCCTAACCAACTGATCATCGGCCAATAATCGAATCGGTATACCCTTTGCATAAAATAGGTATTATATTTCATATAATATTTAGAATTTTTTTTTTAAATAATGTAAGTAAAGGTGCATTGTACAGATCGAAATTCTAAAAACAGTATATATGCAGTTTAACAATTTCAGTAATACAGACTTTTGCATGATTAGGAATTACTTGGCCTGGGAAACATAAGCATTGACAGATCAGGTTTTAATTTACATGATCATCTAAAATATATATCAAATTAATTTTTTAAACTGTTATAAGACATTTAATATTGCAAATCCTTGTGATTAGTATAAGCATGAAATGAAAAATGAATTCCCCCAAATACTGAAAACTAATATATTTCATTTATACAGCATGTACAAGTAGTTTAGTTTCTTTAGTTTAGAAATACAATTATCATTATCTTATGATTTATTTTAAACAGATTTTAAGTACATGTATTTTAAAATAGTTAGTAAAGGACAACACTTGGAAGATATATATTTTTATAACAAGAGCCTGTTCTTGAAATAAAAGTGAGAAAACAATTTAAAAAAAAAAGGATATGTGCTGAAATATACCGATTAATCGATTGTTAAAATCTCCAATCGATTGTCCAAAATCGACAGCCTTTCCGACCGATCATTGATTATAAATCGATCCTCGTGACAACACTAAAATTAAATGTAATATGAAACAAAAGACATTTCTTCTTTAGGTCTTATGATAAAACTTTAACTGAGAAAAAAAATTAAGCATTATTCATAATTAGTCTAAACCGATGCACTGTAAATACATGTAAAACAATTAAGTCACAAAGACTTCATACTGCATCGACTTAATTCAAATCATTTAGGATTAAAATTTGCTCTTGTTTTAAGAGTCCCATTAGAAGAATTTGCATTTGAACTTTATTTCTAGGCAAGTTATCATGGTTATTTTATAAAAAATGCTTGTGTGCACTCTCACAACTGACTTCAAAGGGCCCAAATGAAAAACTGTTCAAAATGATAAGAATCATTCATTTCAGAATTCCATCGACAACAATATTAATTTTATTTGAACTATTAATTTCAATTATTTATGAATAAAATTTGAAACTTTCAAGGGGAAAAAATTACCTACTTAACTACAAATGAACAATTTTTCAAAAATTATTTGATCGGAGCGCATAAAAACAAACATTTTTTTAGAGATGGCCTAAATTAACACCATGTTTTGTTGTGAATTTCAATTATTTTTAAGTGTATAAAAAATCTTTCATGGCTGTACAAATAGTTAAAGATTTTGCACTTTTGAGTCTACTATCTGAATCTGAAATGATCACATTATTCCATCATGAACTAATATTATAAAAATTTTTACCAAGTTGACATTTTATCATTGCTCATATAAGCGTAAGGGTACTTTTTTGCGAATCTATTTAGTATATTATAGAAGAGAGGGATTTTCATTTATGAATTTTTTACTTTTTTATGGATGGTTTGTTCCATGAATGGCATATTAGATAGCCTTCTCTGTAGCATGAATTTAACAATTAACGATTTTCAGTAACAATGTCAGATATTATACCAAATGAATAGGTTATGGAACTGAATAATATACATTTAGATCATTATTGTTTCATAAAAAACGCAAACATTCATAAAATATTAAGTGTATTTACCATCACCAATTCATGAAGTATTAATCCCCAGTTCCATTAAATAGCTTTTGTTGTGTTTAGCTGTGTGTCAGATAACTTCAAATCTAT